GCAAAATAGTTTGGTTAACATGTATGGTAAGTGCGGGGCGGTAGAATGTGCCCGTGATGTGTTTGATAAAATGGGTGAAAAGAATGTTGTTTCCTGGAGTGTTATTATTGGTGCTCATGTTTGTGTTGAAATGTGGAATGAGTGTTTGATTCTTCTTGGAGAGATGTGTAGTGAAGGAAGATGTAGGGTTGAGGAAAGCACACTAGTGAATGTGCTTTCTGCTTGTAGTCATTTGGGTTCTCCTAATCTTGGAAAGTGTATACATGGGATTTTGTTGAGGAACATTAGTGAACTCAATGTTGTTGTGGAAACATCGTTGATTGATATGTATGTAAAGTGTGGGTGTCTTGAGAAAGGTCTGCGCGTGTTCGAAAAAATGTCGGAGAAGAATAGATATTCTTACACTGTAATGATATCTGGTCTTGCCATTCATGGACATGGTAAGGAAGCTCTTAAACTTTTCTCAGAAATGTTGGAAGAAGGTTTGGCACCAGATGATGTTGTTTATGTTGGGGTATTGAGTGCTTGTAGCCATGCTGGTCTTGTAGACGAGGGTCTTCAATGTTTCAAAAGCATGCAAATTGAGCATAAGATCGATCCAACAGTTCAGCATTATGGTTGCATGGTGGATCTCTTGGGAAGATTTGGGATGCTAAAGGAAGCCTATGAACTCATAAAAGGCATGTTAATTAAGCCTAATGATATAATTTGGAGGAGCCTTTTAAGTGCTTGTAAAGTTCATCATAACTTAGAAATCGGAGAGATTGCGGCCGAAAATCTCTTTGCGTTGAATCAAAACAACACTGGCGATTATTTGGTGCTAGCAAATATGTACGCGAAGGTGCAAAAGTGGGACGACGTGGCAAAGGTCAGAACAAAAATGGCCGAAAAAAACTTAGTACAAACACCCGGGTTTAGTTTGATTGAAGCAAAGAGGAAAGTATACAAGTTTGTTTCACAAGACAAGTCTATACAACAATGGAACACCATCTATGACATGATTCACCAAATGGAATGGCAATTGAAATTCGAAGGGTATATACCAGATACATCGCAAGTGTTGCTTGATGTAGATGAAGAAGAAAAGAGGGAGAGGTTGAAATGTCATAGCCAGAAGTTAGCAATTGCTTTTGGATTGATACATACATCAGAAGGATCTCCTATAAGAATAACAAGAAATCTTAGGATGTGTAGCGACTGTCATACTTACGCCAAATACATTTCCATGATCTATGAAAGGGAAATTACTGTAAGAGATCGTCATCGTTTCCATCATTTTAAAGATGGAACTTGTTCATGTAAAGATTATTGGTGAATTTGATTATGTTTATGAGCTTGTATTAATATCATACACCTTACCACAAAATTTTGAGTTTAATTTCTTTAGAGCACTGATTTAAATTTCTTCTCCACATGTTTTTATGTTTTTAATGATGTGTTGGCACATAAATCAAATATGACAACTCCTCTGTTTGTGTTCTTGTTGAACTCAAGGTGCAACGGCAACAGCCTATGGTGTATAATTATGGGATGATGGAGTTTTGCTAGCCTTGCACTGTCACCAAAACTAGTGTTAAGAGTTAAAATGAGATGATCCCTGATTCATACTGAGTCTCTTCTTTTTAGCTGTGGAGAAACTTATTTCTACTCGTTCATATTCGATAGTGGCATGATATTGCAAATAGTCATTAATAATGCCTCCTTCCTGATGAGTGGGGGCGACCGCCTTTCATTAACAACTATGTTAGACAAGGAAATTCTTAATACATGTATTTTTCAAAAATCCTATAAAATTTTCATTTTGATCACTGTCTAAAAGGATCTTTCTATATAACAATGAGTAATAATTTTATATTTGTTAGAAATACGAAGACTTAAGTATTTATAATTGAAAAAACTTATACGCTTATTATTTTAAGGTTTTGAGTGAATATGTGATGTATCTCTCACAAAAATCTTGTTCAAAAAAGAAAGTCTTACGATGTTCAATACTCTCTAATAAAACATGTGTCTTATTTGAGTGAAAGAACGACTCAATAACAACAGTTTTGAGAATTTTTTTTTAAAGTAGCAATATTATATAATTTAATTACCAAATAAAACAAGTTTTCAAAAAAATTACTAAAATGACAAACTTTGAAACTCATCCAACAAGCATTTGCCAAATGGTTTGGCGAATTAGTTAAAATGTTGTTTCAAGGCATTCGCCAAATGGAATGGCGAATTAGGCCATTTGGAATTGGTCAATGTGTTGTCGCCACATGAATTGGCGAATGTGGCTAATTTTTAGGGTTTCCAATTTTTTTTGTTTTTCTTGTATTTTTTATCATATATTTAAAGTTTTAAAAATTTATTTGTTTTTTTATTTTAATATCGTTATTATTAGTAACTATAAAATATATTAATTTATAATATAAATAATATTAATATAATTAAAATATTATTATTAGTAACTATAAAATATATTAATTTATAATATAAATAATATTAATATAATTAAAATATATTAGTAACCATAAAATATATTATTAGTAACCATAAAAAGAAAATATATTAATTTATAATATAAGTAAAAATACATCAACAAAAATATTAATATTCTGAAAATTACAAACAAAAAAACACTAATGATCGGCTCTATCCAAGTGACCACCGGTGCCACATTGGGGGGGACGTGTGTTGCGACGAGATCTTCGACGAGGTTACGGTGGTGTGTCCGGTCTCTGTGTGTTGAGTTGTGGAGGAGGGTATGGTTGTGACGGCCCCGACGCATCAGATAGCGTTTGCATCATTTGACCCCAGTAGCCGGGAGGTCCCATGTCACATGCGTTTCCGTAGTCAAGGCCAATGCCCATGTTTTCGTACGATTGTCAGGGAGGGTGGGTGGAGTATGGACGGTATGGTTGTCCGAAAGTGTACATGGAGTTGGGTTGGTCTAGGTGTGTTGGTTGTTGTGGGGTGTGGTAGTCAAATAGTGGGTGGTTGGAGGTGTAGTTGGAGGGGGTAGGGTCAAATGAGTTGTCCGGGCTATAGGTGGCAGGGGTAGGATCCAAAGACATATCAGGGTTGTACTGGTAAGATGGTTGAGGCTGAGATTGGGTTGGTGGCATGTAAGGTGGTTGTTGTTGATAGGGGGTATATGTTGGCATGGATTGGTTTTCGTATGGTGGTTGTTGTTGATAGGGGGTGTCTGTTGGTATTTGTGGGTATGATGAAGAATCGCGTTCCCTTGGATCGGCCAAATAGGTTGGCTGGGACAGGAAAGGCTGGGATGTCGTGACAGGCCTAAACCAAGTCATATATTGAAGACTTGGCCTAGCCCCGTGCACAATACTGTCGGTTAAGACGTATTGCCTTCTTCTTTTCCAGTGTACACGCAACTCCTTTGCAAACTCCTTCCAATCACCAACCATCCACTGTGCGTCTACCCGCTTTTGATGCCACTTCCCCAAGTCTACGAGAGCATCTGGAATATCTTGATGCATCCCAAATTGAAGTTTCACCCGGTCACTTTGGTGCATCTCCACCGTAGTGAACCTAATTATAGGTGTCTTTGATGTCCACACAGCGGCATCGTCGGGGTTGGGCTGGTGGTCGAGACCCTCGTACGGCATCCAGACAAACTACAATATAGTTGTAAAAATAAGTTAGACAGAGTCTGTGAAGTTTATGCATATACATTAAAAAAATTTATGGTAAATAGCTTACATCGTTTGGCCCAAGGTGGTCGATTAGGTTGCGGTATTGAATTATAGAGTGCCTTGGACATTTCTGATAATTCATCCCGGGTATAGACCACCTAAAAAAATAAACACAAGTCAGAAATTATTAACTGAAATAGAATATGTAGCTGCTAAATAATCTTGAAAAGATACTTACTTGTTTGCGTTGGGGAACGTAAAAGAATTTTATTGGAGCAAGCATTGGCATCCTCGACCAACCCCACGCTTGCAAAAGATAAGCACAACCAAAAAAAAGTACAATAATTTTTTTTGGAAGTCTTACAAAGTGCGCTATATAGATGGGCGAGGACAGCTGATCCCCAGCTATATTCACACACTTTGTTAATATTACCCAATAATGGTAAATACATAGTATGGATTGTATTTCCAGTGTCGTCTGGAAATAAAAAGTGCCCAAATAAAATCATAATATAGCACCGAGTTTTGAGTATTTTCTCATACTCGGTGCTATCATCCGTTAAAACAATACGGTTGTATTGTTCTCTCAGGTATTTTAAGTTAATACCCTGACCCCTCGGGCGGCCCTCGCTTGCCGCCTGAGGTCCGTCCTCACAAAGAGGGGCGCCCAATAAATCTTCACAAAGTCGGTCAGGGACACCAACTTTGTCGTTGACGGCCTTACCATCAATGTGTAGGCCTAGCAACATGTAAACGTCCTGAAGAGTCACATTACACTCACCAAAAGGAAGGTGAAATGTATGTGTCTCCGGTCTCCAGCGTTCTAACAACGCTAGAATAAATTTGGTATCGAGGGAGTAAGATTTGATTTCAATCAAATGCCCAAACCCACAATGAATAAGATAGTTCGTAATGAGCGGGCCGTGTGGTATATAATCATGCACACGACACCGAAACCTTGATACATCCTGCAGAATAATGAAGGTTACGTTAGAGAAGAAGTAAAATTACTATAGTTTTTGTAGACAAAATGGTAAAACATAGACATGAACAAAAGACTTACAAACTCAGCGATGTTTTCAGCCGTCCCTCTGTGAGAATCACCCATGGTTAGTAGAGACATTGTCGAGAGTTGGAAGTTTGAAAGTTTAAGAGTTTCAGACTTTGAGAGTTTGCGAGTTTGAGAGTAGGAGAGTAAGAGAGTAGGAGACTTTAAGTGTGAGTAGAATTTGATGGGTAAATACCCCATATTTATATTCCAAGAGTGGATATGGTGTAAGTGCATGCTTAACACTTGGCGTGAGATATGTGTTGTGTGAGTGCATGCTGAGCATTTGGCTTCAGCTATGTGTAAATGCAGTGTATTTTTTGTAAAAGGATGCAGATCACATGCGAAAAAGGAGATTTCTTCAGTGTAGCGTCTAATCAAACAGGCTGCATGGCATTTATTGTAATGCAGTGTCCCGTCTAATCAACTCATGTTGCATGCAAAAAGCAGATGCTCGTAGGTCTGCATGGTCAATGTAGGGATGCAGATCACATGTGAAAAAAGGAGATTCCTTCACTGTCTCGTCTAATCATACAGTGGTTCATTCATTGCATAGTGTGATTTTTTATTCATCATTATATAATATTTTTATTCATCATATTATATAATATTTTTATTCATCGTAATGTGATTTATTTCATCATATTATATAATATTTTTTATTAAACGTTTTGTGGTTCCTTCATTACATATATGAAGTCTGTTGTTCACGTTATTGATTATGGAGCATGCGTGATAAATGAAAGGCAGACAGAGATTCCTGACTTGAACATCCCATGTAACTGCAGAACTTTGCATTGTCACTTCATATCAAGTCCAGTGTTCACGTTATTGATTATGGAGCATGCGTGATAAATGAAAGGCAGGCAGAGATTCCTGACTTGAACATCACATGTAAATGCAGAATTTTGCATGTCATTGACTATAGAGCAGACGGGACAAGTGAAAGGCAGAACTTTACTGATACATGCAAAAACACTAAGCCCATTTTATAAAGCCTTTATCAAACACTCAAACATTCAGAAACACGCAAAAACACTAAGCCCATTTTATAAATCCTTTATCAAACACTCAAACATTCAGAAACACACAAAAACACTAAGCCCATTTTATAAAGCCTTTATCAAACACTCAAACATTCAGAAACACGCAAAAACACTAAGCCCATTTTATAAAGCCTTTATCAAGAAACTCAAGAAACTCAAACACACTCAAACACTAAAACATTGAAACACTCCATTATTCAAACACCACAATTTCCACAATGTCTCAAACACCACAATACATGATTTCCGTTCATATGAACGGTGAAGTTTTCGAATGTGAGGTCTCGGGATACACTTTCAGAAACACGGAGGTTACAAGATTTTTAATTGACAAAAGGTCTAATTTTTTACACCTGAAGTCAAGAATAGAAAAAAAAACTACAGTGCGGTCCAGTTGGACAAATAATATACAAAAACCCAGTATTCTTTGGAGGACTTGATTCGTGCAAATTTTTTCCTTTAAAGGTGCGAGATGATGAAGACGTGCGTAACATGTTTCGCACTCACGAGTATTCAGGGTTCTCAGACATCATGGTATACGTTACGTTACAACAACAACAACTGTCTCAGCAAATTGAAT